ACGTATAAGAAACATTTATTATTGACATCTCTCTTTATTGTAACCATCAACTTTCATTTTAATAAATCTTTTAGAAAGCATCCATTAACATCAATAATCTTTTTACATCCTTCTAAAAATCTGTCTCATTACTATAAAACAAACATACATCTTTTTAAACTCATTGCTATCTAGTTAACATTCCATAATAGCAGTGTTGTGTTTGTTACTTTCTCTAAGTTCTTCAAGCACAATCTTTAAGTTACGTAAATTCCATCTTCATGTCTTTCTATAGTAACTTAGTTATCCTATTCTTTATACAAGTAGCTTAAGTTAGTGAGATCTTAAACTCAAAATTTACATAAGCTTAAGCTGCCATTTATCTTAACCTTTAAACACAATCTCCTATGATTCTTTATAAACTTTTTAGTTAATATCTTATAAGTAACAAAGTTATTTGTGAAGTTGTTATCATGTGTGTGGTATGGCTCATAAGTTTTGCTTAATATCCCACTATGTAAATGACATAGGTAAGTCCATGTGTAATTTTTATCTTTGCATTTAAACCCAATCCTAATAGGCTTAATGTACCAAAGAGCTTGTAGTTCAATGATAGTAATCTCTTGCAACAAGAAGTTACGGGTTCAATTCCTAGTAGATTAGTTCTGCTAAGAACCTTGGGTGTGTGAGTAAAAAAAATTACAAAAAAAAAAGGCTTAATGTACCAAAAAAATCATGAACTTTATACTTTTTAGTTGTAACGAGCAAGTTCTTTTAATTTTGACGAGAAAATGTCATGAACTAAGCTTATGGTCACGATATTAGCATAGATGAATTTTTTTTTATTTAAATTTCATTTTAAGCCGATGTGACGTGTGATGAAATATGACAATGTGGCTAAATTTTCCATGTAAGATTCCACATAGGATCCATGTGTCCTATTAACTACTCAATAATGAACTATATGTCATTCACTTCTTCCCTAACCCAATTAAAAAAAAAAAGTCCCCAAACCTAATTGAAAAAACCCTAACCTTCTTTGAACTATGTCAAAACTATATTCTTTTCCTTAAAACTATATTTTCATATTTCGCAAATTTTTTCAACCAAGTAAACATACATCAACCTCGAGAAAATCCCACAAGTAAAATTTCTTTTCCTTCTTAAAAAGGAAACCCTACAAAATACAACTCAAAAACAAATGAAACTACTACATTTTTTTTCATTTTTTCCTTAATTGATCTAAATTATATTTTTTTATCTACTATTTGGATTGTTAATGTTGATTTCTTTTTAAATTAACAACAATAACACTAACGTTATTTGTGTTATGCCTAGCCAAAGCTAACATGGTCAACAAAATTAATGCATCCGAGCCGGCCTTCTCCGAACTCTTAACGAGCACCACTACCCATGGTAGCCTCATTTCCTAGAGAACCGGGTGGTGAAGGTGGTTTATGGATCTAGAGGCACATCATGCAATCTCACACGCAAGTATCATTTGACACCATATCGCATAACCCATCACTTGCAAACATCAAACACTTATCCTCCTTCGTCAACTCCATCATGGTCACCTCCAATTCCGGTATCATGTAGGGCTTCAAGCAATTATCACCCGAAAAAGAACCGAAATAAAAACATAGTATATGAATCAAACATAAATCCACCATAATTCGATAGTATACAATAGATCAAGTACTATGTTAATTACCTATGGCTCTTGACATGGCCAAGACAACAAGAACTCTTAGGCCATCTTAATAAATTACACAACCACTAACTTCTTAGATTCGAAGCAATTCATTTGGTTGGTTAGGCTATAATTTATAAAGACAAAACATTGCACAAGAATCACCACAATTAGAGATAATCATCTTTTCGTACATCACCACATCAACCATGACAAGTAGATCCGAACATCACATTGTAGTGTTTGTAACTTGCACCTATAATTAAAACTACTACCTCGTTCTACACAACATTTCTCCATTTTTTTAATCTATTTTTGCAAAACTTTTCTCTATAGTTCCTTCCATTTTACACATTTTTCTCCTTTAAAAACTTTAAGTTCTTCTTATTTGATGATGGGTTAGGGTTAGGGTTTTTTCAATTGGATTTGAGGATTTTTTTTTTTTATTGGGTGAGAGAGGGAGTGAATGACGTGTAGTTAATTATCCGATAGTTAATAGGCCACGTAGATCCTATGTGATAAATTCAATCATGTTTTCATACTCCATCACACGCCACGTTAGTTTAAAACAAAATTTAAGTTAAAAAATTCACATGTCCTAATATGGTTACTAGAAGGTAAGTTCATAAATTTTTTATCCAAAATTGAAAAAACATGCTAATATGATTAAAAAGTATAAAGTTTATAATTTTTTGATATATTAATCCATCCTAATATTATCATTTTATCAAACTTTATAGCTTTTTTATGCTTCATTGAATGCCTTATAATAGCTTTTTTATAAAGTTTTTATATAAAAACATCATTCTAATTTAGAAAAGAGGGACTTCATTCTTATTATCATACTTAACGATCCTTGACCTTCTCTTTTTACTAAGTTTACCTCCGAATCGTCATAAAATATTGAAAAATAGGTTAGTCTTTTATCGAGTCATATTGATTTTCCATCTCTAATCCTTCAAGATCTCCATCAACATAATTATCATCTCCCTTCATGTTTTCTTCACTAATTCCCTCCATATTTCCATCATCATTCCCCTTCCTATTTTCAACACCAAGCATTTTCATGTCCACCAAAAACTTGACCCCTCTCGCTTTTTTTACTTGACTTTTTGAGATTCGACTATTAAACTTTTAAAAAATCCCCTTGCTCGTTGTACCTCTTCACCATTATTGTCCCTCAAATAACCACAATCAAAAGTATCTCCTTTAACTTTTTTGGATCCTCAATAATATTATCTTTATCTTTTTTATCATCACGGTGGCCATCTATTATCTTATTGGATCTCTCAAAATATGCTTATTATCCTTGTCAATTACTCCTTGATATTTTCACCCTCATCATATGCGGGACCATAATTTTGAACCCCACCATTATTTGAACTTTCACCCTTAACATATTCACCATTAGTAGAAGTTGCACTCTCACCTAATATCTTACGATGGTCATCAATACCAAACCTATTACACACAACTTTCGGATTGTTCACGAGTACAAGTATAAGTATTCTTTATCACTATGGTCATAATAAACATCAACAAATTACTTATTTTTTACCAAATCAATCATAGGGCTTATAGTTCTTTCGTCAATATTAACTTAAGGCACCTTGTTAATTATTATCTAAATTTGCATCCTTATAATGCAAACACATTATATTTATATAATTATGTTTCTCAACAAGTACTAGTAAACCAAAATAATATAAACCATCTTTATGGACAACATCTTCAACCACAATACCTCATTTATAAATAACAACTAACCCCAAAATTTCTATGTTCCTTTGTATTTTCTCCTTAACATATTGCTTTAATTTACCCATATGTGTAGCAAAAAGAAGACAATGAGAGAGATCAAACAAACAAATAATCTAAGAAACTACAAACAAATCTTCAATATAAAAGGACCATATACATATAAAAAACAAATGTTAAACAAGAAAAAGAAGAGTTAATTAAAAATTATAGTACCTTAAGATCTCGAGGTATGAATGTTTCTTTTTATAGCATTTGGATTTCCTTAATAACTTTGATTGTCAACTTCAACTTTAAGATCTAACGAGAGAGAAGAAAAGAAAAGAATGAGAAAAGGAGTGAATCAATCAACTACAAAGAGACGATTGTTCGAAAACCGAGAAGAGAGAGAAGAGAAATTAGGACTCAATTTTCTAAGTGGAAGGTTTTTAGTTATTTATGTAGCCTTTTTTTTTCTTTTTCCATAATTTATTTATTTAAATTCAAAAAATAAAATAAATTACCTCACACATGCCATAATTCTATAAACCCTAATAGTAAGATTTAACGTTATTAGTCCAAAACATTAACGGAAGAACATAATAATGACAAAAATCAAACATTGAGGGATGTGATTAAGACAACAAAGAATCGAGGGACCTTTTAAAAAGGAAATCAAGAGTAGAGGGAGCCTTCAAGCATTGAGTCATATATTATCATTCTCGAGGTGCCATTCTCCATTCCAGGGTAATAACTTTGTCATTAGCTCAGCTGAATTTGTAAAATGTATATAATTATAGTGTATATAATTATCACATTTCTGGGCATAGAAATGCTGGCTTTGATGAAAATTTCTTTGGATTATTGGCTACTAATTGATCGATTCAAGCTTCATGACTGGGTATAGAATTGCTGGCTTTGATGAAAATTGCTTTGGATTATTGGCTACTAATTGATCGATTCAATCTTCATGACTTCTCAGAACCAAACTTGAAGTCATAATAATACCAAATACCTGTTTCTCCACTTCAGCTCTCATAAACGAGTTAAGACATAGAAATTCAGATCCTTCATCAACCTCATTACTTGTTTTAAGTAAGTTTTTCTGGAGAAAGTCAAATGGAGAAACAGGTATTTGGTATTATTATGACAAATCGATAGAAGTAAATAAAATATTTCCACATATCGAAGTTTAATTCCCAAATACATGTTTTGCATTTCTAATAATCCTTCAACAGATAAAAAGAACAATGTAATGACAGGACTACAAAGAATTCATCAATACAAAGAACAATGTAATGACAGGACTACAAAGAATTCATCAATACATAAAGGAATCAAAGAATAAACATAAAACTGACTCTGAATTCTATGGACCAAAACCTAGAAAACCTGCCCTGCAAAGAACTGAAATCGGTATGAAACTACTGTATTCATACTAATGGATTTTGTGCTATTAGACTGACGAATCTTATCTGCAACAAAAGAATGAAAGAATAATCACAGCTTCTTCTACCTACAAAGAATTTAGTGTCCCTTTCTGTATGCTAGAATGGAATGAATTGTGATGTTGTTATGTATGAAAAAATCTTCAACTTGGCTGAGAAAAAGAGGATGAACTCCCTGCAATGTCTAAAGGAGTCCACGCTGAGACTGTGTAGAGAGGCTGATCTAACCAACTTAGAGTGAGCGCCGCTCCCTCGTGCCCTTGCTTCTTAACTTTGTAATTATCACAAGAGAACATCTTTAATAGCATTTGGCTCTGAAGCATTTCCCTCTCACTGATTCCCACGCACCGGAGCCCTCCTTGTTCCATCAACTTCTTCCACTTGTCAAAACTTTGATGCCTTTCATGCCGATCGCTTCCTTCACAAGCAACAATGTTTCTGATTTCCCGAGAATACATTTCCTCTATTTTGATCCTAACCGGGCTGTCAAATGGAAGGCTAGAATCAATCGAGTCAAAAATGGCAGAGTAGTACTTCAACGAATTGCAAACTCTTGTTTCCAAATTAGGGGCATTGTGTTCAGCTTCTTGCTCTGCCATAAGGACTATTGTGGGGTTTGTGCTTCGGATAAGTCCCAAGAAATCCCTCAATGCTCCTCCACTCCCATCATATAGAGTCTTGTGCATCTGGAAAACACAATTAATAGCCACGCACTCCCTCTCCTTCACATGAAGCATCCACAACCTCACGTCTTCTAACCTGTCCACAACTGGATGGAACTCGAAAGGAAGGTTCAATGCTTCAGCAAATCCAGCAAGCCTATCTCCTGTCTCATTAAGCTCTTGCTTAGACTCGCCTATACCAGTGATTCTAACATGGCTAGGAGGATTAGTCCTGGAGGCCAAACTCTGGAAAAAGCTAGGCCATTGAAGCCCTTGCTTAATGTCAAAGTCTATAATATGAACCCTATCTTTCCCATCAAAAGCCCTCAACAACATCTCATTCGACGTGAAGTGAATGAACTTTGGAATTGGGCTCACCTGATTCAGAAGCCTCAATGCAGTCCCTGAATCATCATCAACTCGATCAAGTTCCCGAGGAGCAGTTATATGAAAAATGTGAGGCCAAAGCCTTGTAACTCTAAGAGCCAAGGCCTCGGTATAATAAGCAGCAAGGCGGCTAATAGGAATTCCTTTTGGAGAAGCAAGCTCCCCCAGTTTAGCTATAAAATGGTTGATCCCCGCTATATTCTTCAACCCAATTGCTTCAACACAAGCTGTAAGTAAGCTAACAAGCTCAAACCCCTGAAACTCTCTCTGATCCTCCTCTGCAGCCTCCACCGTAGTGCCTTCTTGTGGATGAGGAATGCTAGAGCCATTACCCACTTCATGCTCCACCACATTCTCGCTTAGCCTAAGGCCTAAGCTTTGACTCTCTGATGAAGTACTTGAACCCGAGGCTTCTTTTACTGGCCTTTGGCTACTCTCTCCATCTTTTTCACCTAGGTCAGTGATCTCAGTTATAACAGAGTCCACCCATGGATTGTTAGACAATGGCAAAGGCGGCGAAATCACTTCGCTAGGCACAAAGTAAACCCTCTCCTCATCTCCTGAACAAGTCAAGGAGAAAGGAAATTGTTGAGGGTTCAGGCCTCTAGGCACCTCCAAACTTGGTTGAAACCAAAAATTGCCACTCCCCAACTGGCCTAAACTCAAACTATCACCACCTTCACAAATATCATCAGGTTTACCATGATCATTGTTACCCCTTTTTCTCTTAGCTCTATTAATGCAAGACTCGTCAACTGATTGCTCTGCAAACCTCTTCAAGCTCTTACCCTTCTCCCAAAACTCATCTTTCACTGATTGATTGCTTGTTGCCAATGGTGGGAGCCTGATATTCTGCTTCAGGGAGCAACTGCTGGTCTTGGACTCAAGAGCTTTGTCCACTGACAGGCCAACACCAACAGGCCTAATGGGCTGCGACCGCGATGATTCTTTGCGAGAGAAAGTACATGGCAAGTCCAATCTCTGTGTGTTCATTGAAGGTAACTGAAAATGGCAAGCTTGAAACTGCGCGGGTGATTCACTCCTCAATCTATGCCTTGGTGACAGCAATGTTGAACTAGAACACCCGGCCAACATTCTCTATAACCTTCCAATTTTTCTTTTCTTTGATTTTTGTTTGATTCACCCACCCTATTTTCTTCTATTTTTCTCTCCCCTAGCTCTCTTTGTTTCTATAACAAATCTTCAACTATGAAATGTATGATTTACTTTATTGTGTATAAATTCTATAACTTTGCATGTATATTTGAAAACAGAAATCAAGAGAGACAGATTAATGTGAGTGTGTGAATTTATTTTTTTATTTTTTTATTTTTAGGAACCCAATAAAAAGAATAAATAGGAATCCGATGAGTAACAACAAATGAACAAAAATCAAACAAAAGATTTTGTAAATTGTGTAAGTGTTCCTATATGAACAATGTGAGTATGCAACTATTTAACACAAGAATATGCAAAAAAATAAACCCCAACCCCAATAAAAGAATGAAAGAATTTGTAAAACTAATCAATGATCATTCAATACAACTATAAGAAAACAATCATCGGATTCCAACACATTTAAAACAAACTCATTGAAACAAACTATCAACTCTATTCACTTCATGAAAGGGAATGCAGAAACATACTTGCACAAACTGCTGGCTGAAATCAATACAACTCTTCAAACCCAGATCAGCATTTGAAGTTTCCATCACAGTAGCCAAAATGAAACCAAAACCCCACTTCTTTAACCATGCATGATCAGCAAAGAAACATACATACATGCATAAACTCTTTTAACATTCACTCACTAACCAAAGAAACCATAAACCATAAAAAGGTTGTGTTTTTATATACTAAAACTTTTGGTTCTTGTTTCTCTCTCCCTCTCCCACTCTCTCTCTCGCGTTCTCTCTCTACTACTCCCAGTACTATACTACTACTATGCTGCTAGTAGTATAACTTCCATAGCTGTCTCAGTCATTGCTTTTTCTAAGACTGACTCGGTTTTTACCAGCACTTTGGGAAAAAAATATGATTACAGTGAAAAAGGGTGTTCGAGAAGACTTGAGAAACTGGATTCTGGTCGTTCGATTTTGATCAGATGGTGGAGAATGCAAATTCAAGTGACCGTTAGAGTATGTCGGTAAAATATGACCGTTGGAGGAGTTGGTGTGTACGGAGAGGGTATGTGAATACGTGTGAGGACTTTTATTCCTTTTATTTATTTTTTACTTTTTCTCTTTTTTGGTGTTATTCTCTGTGACTGTCACGTAGTATGCACGTGCCTGTCCCCCTGATACCCGTTCACTCGACCGTTGCGCCATATCATGATCTCGATTTTGTTTAACTTTTGCTAGAACTTCGTGTGATTATCATTAACATCCCTTGACCGTAACAAAGATTAACACACGTGGTGCACTGTCAGCCGTAATTAGAAACTGATTATGTAGTTAAGTGAACTTTGACAAAATAGTCTTCTAACTTTGACTAGCTTTTCTATTGCGTAAATGGATCGCTGGCTGCTAAGGGCCCAAGATCAGTTAAGGTAAAAAGCTTTTCTATAGCGTAAATGGATCGCTGGTTGCTTAAGGGCCCAAGATTAGGAAAAGTAAAAAGTTAAATGAACTTGCAAGGAATTTTGTCAAACTACAACTGGAAAGGCCCATACTCAAGGGAAACGCTAGAATAAAACAAACATCCTGATTAACTTCTTTTGCTTTTTTCCTGCCTGATTAGCGACACTTTTTGGCCTTTTTAAGCACCAAGTTTTGGGACACCTGTCCTGTTACTGGAAAGCAACAGTTAAAAGACATTCATCCCAACGAAAGGGTAAAGAGTCATAATGTACCTTGCCCAAAGTTAAAATTAAAGGACATGCTTTTACCACAGTAAAAGTTGATTCAGTAATAGCATTTGAGACCGCAATTTGAACTGTTGACAACGAAAATTTGCCAAAAAACGGCTAGATTCGGTATCGTCAATTGCAAGTTGACAGCGTAGCCAAAAATAAGATGTGCCCCACCCCGGGTGCTGCCAACGGTGTATTTATCATTAACTGGCAGCTAGAGTGAAACCAAAGCTCTGATGAACTGGAAAGGAGGTATAGAAACTACATCCAAGACCAGCAGAACAAGCTTGCAAAGCACTTACGGGTGCCAACATATGTAAAAAGAAATCAGATAAAACTCATAATAATACCACAGCTTTTCAACCCATCTCTAGAACGAAGTTCTATCCAATGTAAATAATATGTACAAAAACATCCGCCCTGATCCTGAATCATTGAACACCCAAAATAACAAATTGCAACCATGCCCGTTGTGCCACATTCAATGTTTTCATCGACCCAAATTCCATGAAATTTGTCCATACAGTATGGATCCGAGTAAACTCCATGTATTCATTCATTTTTCTAACAAATAAATTTAAAACCTTCCAAGTTGTATCTTCCTACAATTTGTTAGATGTTTGTTCTTAGATCGACTCTAGAAACAATGCTTCCTGTTTGCTGGTCAGGCCAAGTTCATTGAGAGTCAGTGCACTCTCTCCATCACTGAAAGCACGCCTTGGGTATGGCCTCACCTGCTCAATTAACAACAGATCAGAGAAGGCAAGATGTAAATTTAATTACAATTTTTACCAGAATTCCAGCATCAAGGTAGAAATGGTGTAAAGTTTGAACCAAATAACAAACCAAGTGTATATTCTGAAGATGTTCGCCATAATTATTGAAAATATAGATGGATGATTACCAATCTGTAAGTGCCAGGCTTGGCCACTCTGCCAATATCTATGAAATCGAAGAGAGCCTGCGAGGTACAATAAACAAAATTGTGAAACCAGGATGGTATGCGCAGATAAATATTTAAGCACATTACTTTCCAGGCAAAACTCTACCTGTAAGTTGTCAGACTTGAGAAATCGGCGGCCACGCCGGCTGCCATTAGGCATCCTCACCAAAAGCGTTACAGCATTATCATCATCAGATGCAGGTTCATGAGGCAGAGAAGCTTCTTTTGCCGCCAAAAGTCTCTCAAACTCCTGCTAGGAAGAATTACACAAGCAGTTATAAACAACTACCAAAAGGTTTGTTATAGTCATTAGTCTCATCCCTTCCTAACACAAGCGAGGAACTGATCAATGACTTTGAGAGCCACTTGCAAACAATATTTACAAATGCCAGAGGCAAAACCAAAGACAGTGAAGGAAAAATAGCAAAGGTGACTGACTGGCTGCTCTAGTGAGCATCAAAATCTCAATTCACCTGTGGCCTTTTGTCCAAACAAGAAAAATATATATTAACAACCAACATACTTGACACTACAGGTTTGAAAAGAGATTAAAATTTTTCGACAGTTCCACATCCATCTTTAGCATAAGAAATAGCAAAGGTGACTGACAGCTTTAGTGAGCATCAAAATCTCAACTCAACTGCCGTCTTTTGTCCAGTCAAGAAACATATATATTAACAAAAAACATACTTGACACTACAGGTTTGAAAAGAGATTAATTTGTTGCCAGTTCCACATCCATCTTTAGCATAAAAAATGAGAAAACAATACCTGCTCTTCCTCCAGTTTTCTACGAGATTCTTCCTCTTTTTGCCTTTCTTCTTCAAGAGCAGCTTTCCTAGCCTCTTCTTCTGCTAAACGACGAGCTTCAGCTTCCTCCAGAGCCTTCATCTCCTTTTCTCTGTCAGCTGCCAATGACGCAAGATACTCATCGTCCTGCATCCACCAGACAATGCATGTCTATCACCTCAAGTTTATCGCCCAAAATTGAAACTTTATCTCCCAGTTAAGTCCCAAATGTCAAACCTGTTGTTCGCGGATCAAGCGCTGAGCTTGTAGAGAGGGTGACGGAGGACGAGGAACTGGCCGAGGATAATTATTCTCATTTTGCATGAACTGGGGAGGTGTATATGGAAAGCGATATCCAGTCCTTTCAGGAATTCCACCAAACATGGCAGCCTCAAGCATGACTGCTTCATCATGCTCCTCAGAAGAGATGCCTCCCCACTTCAATTTGCCAAATTCGAGATGTCAAATAGTTTAGTTTACTTATAGAGACTAAAATTTGAAATTAGAGTTGATAAATTGTAGAGGAGAATTATGTAAGATACCTACCTCATCAGAAAAGGGATCTCCATTGTGCAGGGGATGACTTCCTATATTAATATGTCCAGGACTTGATGGCGGGCTGGCTTCAACAGCGACAACTTCTTTAGCAGATTCCATAGACCCAGATGATGTTTGTCTCGATCTATGCCTAATGAGAGGCTGCTCTTCCGCATCTTCTGCTCCATCTTGGATGGATGAGCTTCCTGCCTCCTGCCTAAATTGAATCAAGAGGCAACTGTGAGATTTCCTACCTCTGACCTCAGAAGTATCATCTAGCACACTTTGTTGTCCTTTGTTTTTTATTATTGTCCAATGATGTTTTAGGATGCATTTCAGGTTTTTTCTGTGATTATGCATCCTTGGTGGGCCAATGAACGTAGTTATCATAGACGGCACAAATATTTTATTGTCCTTTGTTTGGCCATTATGTCAGAAGAATATCACATCAGTAACCAAAAAAGACCAATATCATATGATTATATCTATTAATGGGCAATCAAGAATGCTTACCTGCCATTTGATGCAGCTAGTTTCCCTTGCTCTGCCTCAAGATTATTACCTCCTCCTTCTGACGGTTCAACTTTTCCCCTCTGCTCACGAAAAGCTTTCTCTTGCTCTGCTGTCTGGATTAAGTTTGTTGTTAAACAAGAATACGAGATGCCTATAAGCAAAGCAAAGTGTAAAGGAAACACAAACCTTTAAGGATAACGAAACCACATGTTCAAGTTGAGCATCCTCCACATGAGACTGACTTTGCTTAGGTCCAGATTCAGTTGGCTCCTACATCATAATGCATATGATCCATTAAACATACAAGCATTTTACGCTTAATTTTTGAAAAAAAAAAAAACCATAAAGAGACCAACTTAACAAAAAGCTAGTCCAACCTTTAAAAGTTATGATTTTTAATTTTATCTGATCAAACCTTGAAACTTTCTTATTTGAACTCTTTTGCATCCAAAAAGAGGCAAAATGGCAGAAAAACCTTATTTCTTATAACTTTATGTCACATAACCCAAATAAAAAATTACAAATCAAAATTAAGGCATCCAAATCAAAAGGTTCAATGCTATGAGGCTCCAAATCAAAGTTCTGAGGTTCATGAGGTCTGCTTCAAATTAGTTCCTAGTTTTAACAGTACCATATATTGATTACAGTACTACCCAGAAAAAGATTATGCACGCAACAAACCCATTGGCTTGGTTAGCTCACCTTAACCTCTCTTTTTGAAGCCTCAATGGCAGCCCGAACCATTTCTTCTTCTATGTCATTGCTATAGTCAGGCAAGTTATCAAATTCAGGAGCACTAGGTCTAAAATGCCCCTCACGAGAACTGTCCTGTTGGGAAGCCCGTGCATTCAAGTTAGTTGAAATATCATCATCGTCTTCATCCTCAACTGTGACAGTTCCCCGAATATCAGGACCTTGTGCCTGTTCAGTTCCAGTTACATCTTCAATAACAGGAGCATTACCAGAATGACCCGATGCATCACTACCATCCTTGACCTCTATAGGTATCTCCCTCACCTCTCTTGGTTGAGAAACAAATGGTGCCTGGTTCATTAAATCAGAACCAGTATCAAATGGACCTCTTCGAAAATGTGGATCGAGAAGTGAGAATGGATTCATAGCGCCACTCTCAGCTAGAAGTGATAGAGGATTTCTCCTAGGAGGTGGTGCAACTTCAATTGGATCGTCATCTATATCCATGAGATCATCTTGAGGAGCAGGAATGGAAGGTTGTGGCCCGCTGGACATAGAAAAACAAATCACAATATAAGTCCTCGAAAACATGCCAAAAGAACTGCACATAACATATATTTGCTACCAGAGGATGGAAAGCAACAACTAATACACAAAGGATGACAAAATGGCAGAAAGGACTAACGCGCTTCTGTCTCCTTCACTGAAATGGGCATTGATGGCCGCATTGAGATCACCACCATGCTCCTAATTGCAATCAAAAATTAGAAAAACGTAAATTAGAAGCACAGCAAACTTACAATCTAGGCTAAAATCCGCATGATTAAACATATTATAGCAAAATAGAAATCTTCTGAACTTGAAAAAAATTCAATCCAAAATTTGACCTAAAGCTCTGCATTTACTACATCAAATAGTGTGATTATCACTTTAATTAACCAAAAAGAAACCCCTAATTAACTTGAATTAGAAAGAATTAGCAATCAACAAACTACAGAGAACATTATAAACTACTTAACCAACAATGCTAACCCTAATTACACACCGATTACAAAATCCAAAAATCACAGCCTAAATTAACACGCAACTTCACTCTAATTCTTCAAGATTACAATCCGATTGATAATCGAAGACCGAAAGAAAGAATTACCTCGATTTTTTGAACCGCTACATCTTCGGGGACGCCTGCGATGCTGATAAATGTGTCGATTGCTTCTTGATTAGGTCTCGCCATCTTCTTGGATTTTTATTTCTGGAGCTATTTATTGATTTTACAGTTGTGTTTTCAATTTCAGTTTTTGATTTGGAAAGAAGAGAAAGAGAGTAGATATTTGTGAGTGGAAAGAATCTGAAGAGAAGAGATTGTTTGTTTGGTGAGGAAAGGAGGAGTGATTGGTATTTTTATTTTTGGTGAAGACGTGGAGTTTTCTTCCAATATTCTACGCTTCTAGTCGAGTCCAGTCTCTAGTTTTTCTCTTTATAAAAATGCTGCCTTTCCTTCTTTTGGATTTGGGAGGAAGAAATGTGCGTCATTTGGGTTATTGTGGCTTGGGGGTTAAGTCGCGTACGAGCTGTGGATATTTTGGTCTATTTGTATAAAAAGGTGTGTCTGGCGACGTAGAGAAACGTGTGAAGAAGCTTTAGGGTATAAGAATAGAGAATGTCCATTGATAATTTTCTTTTTCTTATTTTTATGAAATTGAGAATTTAGTTATAGGCCAGAAGCCAAGAAGAGTTGCAGTGGCAAATTAAATATTGTATTCGTATATATTCAGAATTCAGATGTGATTGTATTTTGTAGAGAGTTTCGATGATTATATAATAATAATATATTAATTAGCAAAAGATATATTTTACTCAAAATCTTGTAATCTATTAACTTCGATGCTAATGGCCACTCACTTCTCTTTCGATAAATAAGTCAAACTCTTAGTTGACTTCTTACTCAAGTCATTGATTACCACATTAGTCTTACTCGAATGATACAAGATAGTGCAATCATAGTCATTAAGTAATTTCATCTACGTCCTCTATCTCAAATTCAAATCCTTCGATCAAATATGTACTTCAAACTCTTATGATTTATGTAAATCTCACAAGTCTCTCCATACATATAATGTCTCCAAATCTTTAAGGCAAACACCACTATTGTCAACTCCAAATCATGTGTAAAGTAGTTCTATTCATGTTTATTCAAGCTGTCTCGAAGCACAAGCTACCACCCTATCGTACTACATCAACGAACATCCCAACCTTATTCTCGAGGCATCATAAAATTCGGAAAATCTACTTCTCAAGAGTAAGGTAAGGATCGATGTCGTAGTCAAACACGTCTTCAACTTCTGAAGCTCTCTTCACACCTACTTAACCATTGGAACCTTATATTTTTCCGTGTCAACTTAGTTAAAGGTGCTACAATCCTTGAAACTTCTTATATAAACCTTCGATAATATCCAACTAGACCCAAAAAGCTTCGAATCTCTATCACTCGAATTAGGTTTAAGTCAATGGCTTATTGTCATTATTTTCTTCGAATCAATCATAATCCCTTCTGGGATATAATGTGTCATAAGAATTTCACATTCTCTAACCGAATTCACATGTCAAAAACTTGGCATATAATCTCTAATCTTTAATGTCTACGGTACCCATCTTAGATGATTCTCATACTCCCTCTTATTCTTAGAATACACTAAGATATCATCAATAAACATTATTATAAACTTATCAAAGAAGTATCAAAACAACCTATTCATCAAATCTATAAAAGTCGTTGGAGCATTGGTAAGGCCAAACAATATCACCAATAATTCATAGTGGCCATAGTGTATCCTAAAGGTAGTTTTGGGTATGTTCTCCTTCTTAATCTTTAACCGATAGTATCCAAACCTCAAATCAATCTTAGAGAAGTATCTTACACATTGCAACCGATCAAACAAATCATGGTTTGTTTCAAATTTCTAAATGATAAAAATGAATCAATTCATCATAACATTAATTAAGTTTCAACTTATATAGCCTAGCCTCTTTTATGGTCAATCCGTTTCAATTTTTTTTATATATATAATTAATGACATGAATCATTTTTACGGAAAATAAATTTTAAGTTCGGTATATGTATATATATTGGATCACTACATCAAATGGCGGTAGGGTGTTATTGAATGTCGTTAGCTTGAGACATGTTGCAATCACAAATAGATCTAGTCAATGCTTGAAAAGAAAAAAACATGAAATATAATTAAAAGAAAAAAGAGCTTCAAGCACCATCAATCAATTAAATCAATCCTTGATAATGAATACCTATTCTACACTCGTCACTTTATTCAACCGATAGTAATCAATACATAACCTCAAACTCCCATTCTTTTTCCTAATAAATAAGATTAGAGCACCCCATAAAGAAATAATTGGTTGAATAAAACCCTTATCCAATAAGTTCTAAAGCTAAACCTCCAACTCTTTCAAGTCATTTGGTACCATCCGATAATGAGGTATAGAGACGGAGTTCGATGTCGAAAAGTAGTTCAATACCGAATTTTATTTCTCTATCTAGGGGTAAACTAGGTAATTCATCTAAAAATACATCGAGAAACTTCCTAACGATAGAGACTTGGTCTAAACTAACCATACTATCATTTGTCTCTTTCACATATGCCAAATAGGCTACACGTCCCTTTCTCATCATCTTACTTGCCTTAATAGCAGACACTTAGGTTAGAAGGAGCTACGCTCTTCTCTTCCCGAAAAAAATTCTTTTTCTTCTAAATCTCTAAAATACATAACTTTAATATAACGATCTAGCAAAGCATGGTAGTTCGTTAATCAATCCATTCCTAGAATTACATCAAAATCATCCATCCCCAACAATATCAAATCCGTCATCAAATTTTTTACCCATCACCCATACATCATAGTTTCTAAACACTAAATCGGTTATCATGCTTTTTCTTGTTAGAGTTTATACCATCAACGATTGCTTTAACATACATGGATTCATATCAAACTTCTTAGCAAAATATGGAGACACAAAAGAATGAATTGTCTTTGAGCCAAACAATACCCTTACATCATAAGAAAAGACTTGAAGGATACCGATACAATGGTATTGGATGCCTAAGCATCTCGTTAGGTGATAGTAAAAACCCGAGCTTAACCATCACCAATACTTGCCCGACCACTAACCTCTTAAGCTTCTATGACCTCTACCAACTTGTCATCAACCTTTTTATGCTCTACCACAAAACCTTCGACCGGACCGATAACTAAATTTACCACCACAATGACTTAAGGATGGATTGGCCATAGGAGACATTACCGGAAAAATACCAATTAGCAACAAAAATTAACGACGAATTTTAATATGTCGCCATTTAGCAATAAATTAGCAACGGATTAGAGACGGACTATAAAAGGTTATGTTTTACAACAAATTAATGACGGACTAACGAGGAATAATTAGTTAAAATAAAAAATTAGTCGCTAAATAAGGCGAGCAAAAAACGTCAAAATCGGCGACGGTTTTGTGGTTGCTAAATGGAAAAATTAGTGATGGAATTTTTTTCGTCGCTAAAATTTCCAAAATTTAGTGAAGTTAGCTACGAATTTTGAAATCTGTCGCTAAAATTAGCAACGAACTTCAAGTCATTAGTGACGGATATCAAGTCCGTCACTACTTTATGCCTTTTTTGGGGGAAATTCTCCCAAAATGACCCAAAGTTACCGACGGACGTCGAGTCCATCGCTAAGTAGCAATGAATGCCAAGTTCGTTGCTAAGGGTTACCATTTTGGGTGGAAATTTTTCCTCCTCAAAACGGCCCAATATTAACGACGGACACCAAGTCCGTCGCTAAGGATAGAGATTTTAGGCGAAAATTTCCCTCTAAAATCCTGTGTTCGTCATTACCTCATCGACGTTTAGCAACGGACCCACAATCCATTATTAATCAACGATGGATTAGCAACGAAATTGGGTCCATCGCTATTTTACCTTTATATATACCCCTTCTTCTTCTTCTCCATTTGCTTCCCTCACCTCCACCACACCTCCCCTTTCGCCGCCATCCACAAAAACACCGACCCACGCCGCCCCATGTCATTAAAGCTTTTTTAAAACCCGTCAACAAAGTAAGGGGTATCTTTTACCCTCAAAATCATATCAATCCGTGTTCTCTATCCTTGATTTATCGGCTAAAACTTTCTCTCTCTAACTCTTTTTTTTTAATTAGATAAATATTATAAATATTTAGTTAAATTTTATTATTTGTTAGTTTATTAATTATTTGAATGTTGTTAACTATCTTATTTGTTAATTTTTTGTTATGTTAAGTTGTATGCGGTAGTTTAAATTTGTTAGTTGTTATTTTATTTTTATAAGCTGTTAGATTACTTTTGTTAAGTTTTATTTTGTTGTTATGTTAATTGTTAGGTTAATTTGTATTTTAACGTAAACCTTAAAAATTTAAATTTTTTTAATTTTTAGTTGTTAGATTAAAATTTAATTATTTAATCTTAAATTGTTATTTTAATTAAGCGAATTAAATATATATTTATTTGTTTTTAATGTTAAGTTAATTTGGTTAGTTGTGTATTTAAACTTAATTTTGAAATTATATAATTTTTGACGTAGTTTAGTTAAATTTGCTTAAAATTATATAATTTTTGACATAATTTAGTCATTTTAAATGTAAATTTTATAAGTAATTTTATTAGTTTAATTATTAAAATTGAAATAAGATAACATACATAATGATTTGATCATTCCTTCCACTCGACCTCTAGTCGAACCCTCCACACAGGTATAAGGATGAGGATATGGGATTAGACGAGCGAGGATGAGTGATATAATATTTAGTCACTTTGTTTGTTTTGTTGTTTTTTTATGGAACGTATTTTAGAATGATTTTGTTAATATTATTTTATTTTTCATATATACATGATTACTTATAATTGTTTATTATTAAATATTAATTATTAAATGTTATATTAATAATTTAATTTTGAAAAATGTCAACAAAATTGACGAAATTATGAAAAAAATATTTTCGAAATTAATGATGGAATAGTGATGAATTGGTGAAAATTTTGTTTTTCAAAATTAACGATGGAATAGCGATGGACTAGCGATGGATTTATTTTTAAAATTAACGACGAAATAGCAACAGATTAGCTATGAACAAAATGATCGATCCGACGACAAGATTAGGGATGGATTTTTTTAGTTTAGCGATGGA